CTTCAGTCCTGTAGGTATGCACCAACACCTGGGGCATGTCTTGTCAGAACTTACTTTAGCTTCATGTCTAGACCAAGAAAAACATGTGATAAGAGGACCTATGAGAGTTTCTCCACAGAAACACAGATGAAAAATTGGCCTCCATATTGCCCCAGGCCTGGTCCCTTCTGGGCTTGAGTCTAGAGACTACTGCACAGGAAGGTGGGCAGCATCTTTATATTTTCTTCTGCTTTTCTCCGAAACCAAATCCCAGAGTCACTAGAGAAGGAAGATTTTCCTTGGCAGATGGTAAGAGACACTGGTGTTCAGCTCATCCTTCTACCCAGGGATGGATTCCAGGGCCCTGTCTCTATCTCCAACAGCACGGAGGTGGTCTTCCAGCTCCCCTCAGAGTTCAAGTTTCAAGCTTGAGATTGCTGCTTTGAATGACAAGGGCAGTGCAAGGGTGGGAACCCAGGCAAGAGTAAGGGAGCAAAAAGCCACCCACTGAGGAGGATGCTGGGACAGGGCAGGGCTGGGCTGGCCCAACAACAGGTTCAGCCCAGCCCTGAAAGGGCAAGTCAGATCTGGCTCAGCAGTGGGGGCTGGGTTGGGGAGTGGTGCTGACTCAGGGCCTGGCAAGTCAGGTGACAGCACAGGGACAGCTGTTGCCTGGGTGTTTTTAGAAAACTTTGGCTGCCAAAGACTCTTATGGGCTGCTTCTGCACCTACTCAGAAGCAGACAGAGAAAATAAGGGCATCTTTAGGTTAAGCTCTAAGCATGGGAAATTAATATCTGGCCGTACTCTATTGATCCTTACTGTAACGTGCCTGGAAAATAGGAGCAGAAATTAGTCAGGAGGCCTCGGCATCCCCTTTGAACCCTCTGAAAATCACTGACTGTTCCTCTTAGGTCTTTTTAGGCAGCTTGGAAAGGAATCCAGTGTAGAGGTTAAAAGAGCAGGCGCTGGAGTCAGGAAGGCCTGGAATCCAAACCCAACCTTATCACTTATTGTATGACTTTGATCAAGATTGCCAACTTTAAATAAAACAAAATACATTTTTAGTTATGGAAATTTTCAAATATGAGCAAATTAGACACAGTGGTATAATAAATCTCCATATGCCTATCATGCAGCTTGTATAATTGTCAACCCATGGCCAATCTTGTTTCTTCTACATCCTACTCATCTCTCCTCCCTCCAATTATTTTGAAGGAGATCCAAGGCATCATCTCATTCCACCCCTCTTAACTTCTTTAAACTCTTGTTTCCTCATCTGAAAATGGGGATTATATTGTAGTAGTCCCTGCCTTAAAGCATTAATGTGAGGGCATGTATCTAAAGGGCCAGCATAACACATGAACTCAATAAATGACAACTTGTGTTATTAGATAAAAATATAAAAATAAGGCCCTGGCTGGTGTGGCTCAGTGGATTGAGTGCCAGCCCTCGAACCAAAGGGTCATTGGTTTGAATCCCAGTCAAGGCACATACCTGGGTTGCAGGCCAGGCCCTCACCTCATCCCCTCCCTGGGGTGCATGACAGGCAAACACACATTGATGTTTCTCTTCTTCCTCCCTCCTTCCCTTCCCCTCTGTCTAAAAATGAATAGAAATTTTACAAATAGGAAAGGTCTCTGCTGCCCTCCCATCTCTCTGCCTGTGATCCTCTTTCCTCCTGGTGACCCTTCCATCTAGAATCTGAGGACTCCCTCCGATCATCAAGACAGGGCTAGGATGACCACCCAGCTCTCCAGGCCTCAGGATGGGCTGGGAGCACAGGATGCCTGAGTTCTAGGGAGGGGCTAGAGAGGGGTAGTGGAGACATGGGAAAGAGGGATCAAATGTACAGCAGTCTTGGGAGACAGACTGGGGGCAGATGGGGGCCGAGACTGAGCAGAGTGTGACAGGTCCAAGTGGCAAGGTCAGCAGAAAATGAGAAAGTGGACACAGTGGGAATGTCAGGCGAAGCTGGAATCACCCTAAGAGTTCCACCAGAAATAAGTTTGTCAGTCAGACACCTTGGATGCAACACAAACCAACTTTGGCAAATAGATGCAGGAAGTAAATGTATTGCAAGGCTATTGGGAAACTCTCAGAATTACTGGGAAGACTGGATAACTAGGGTTAAGAATTAGGGGGGCAGAGATAGGATACCGATGCAGTCTGTTGAGACCAAACAATGAGGCCATCACTGGAAACCAAAGAGATTCTACTGCCTGAAGCGCAACGGTGGCCAGCACTGGACCTGGGATGCCATCCAGCTCTGGGGATTATGTTATTAAATATAATATAACCTATCGTATTATATTATACACAGGTGTCCTGGAAACCACGTGCTGCTGCTGTACCCTACTGCCTTCTCAGTACGTGTCTCCTCCTTTGGGTCATTTGCCCCTGTGTCAAGGTTTAGGGCTGGTGCATCAGACGGGTAGGGCCTTAGCTAATGTCCCCACAGCCTCGATGTGTGTTTGGGGTACAGTAGGAGGTGAGAGATGAGAAGGGGACTGTAGTGAGAGGAGGGCTCTGAATACTGAAAACTGGTGGTGGAGAGTGTCCTGTTAAAGGAAGGGCATTCAAGAGCAGCCACAGATCTGGAAAATGCCCCTTATCCAAGGAAGTGAGTGAATATGGGTGAAAGGTAGGAGACTGGCCCTGGTGGGAACAAGACAAAGAAACAGGATCTCCATTTGGCTGTCAGGGACACCAGTGTCCTGAGGCAGGACAAAAGGCAGTGGAACTCTGGATGTATGTGTTACAAGGGTCTGGCTTCCTTTTGGGAGAATTTTGGACAATAGAGATGGCTGCACTCAGGTATTATCTTGGCAGTGTCTAAATCAATTGCATGGAGCATGATGGCTTTTGACACCCTGAGCTACTACCCTATCTCTGGCTGCAGGAAGGAGGTGGGGCTGCCTGCAAATAACTGTGTGTTTAGTCCGAAGAGCTGGAACCAGTCAGGGTTGGGCAAGGACTGACAGGTGGCAGCTGAGAGCTGAGCACCAAGCTTCGTGAACAGATAATTCCAGGAACTCTGAGCTTCCATGATCAAATCAATGTAATCAAACAAACTTTTAACTTTGCATAACTCTTGTTATGTCATGTGGCAATTGGGCATAAAAACAAAGAGCTAGATTCTGTATTCTTTTTATCACACCAAATCAAGTGTTTTTTCCTCACTTTTCTATTATTCTGACATATATAAGGAGTATCAATGTCAATTTCCTCTACTGCCATGTAGTATTCAATCCCTTCCTCACTTTTGTTTAAAAATGTAGATATGGAAGGCAGAGAGAGCACTGAGTTAATCATCCTTATTTTGTAGCACACTAAGCACTGACATTTTTAATCTGTGTGAGGTCCTGCTCATTTCATCTCATTTCCTATTTTTCCCTTCTTCCCTCTCCATAGGTTCCCACTCTAATGTGTTTGAGGCACTTTATTAAATATGTATGAAACCTCATAAAGAGTAGTTTGTATGTTTTTAATTTACAGGAATGACATTGTACTATAAATCACTGTTTCCCTTGTTTCGGTTCTTCATGTTGCTGTATGAGCAGTGTGTTATTAGCATAATACTGTTACACAGCATTTTATAGCATGTGGGGTGGGCCATGGACAGATGCCACAGGCTCATTTCTCTGGACAACAGAGTTATCTTACGTGGTGGACGGCAAACTCTTGAATGCTGACCCAGACCCTCCCCAAGCCTAATCCTGCGGAAACTTAGTCCCGACTCTGAGCTCATTAGACAAATTTCTTCCCTCTCAATGGTCTGTACTAATCATTAGAATTTGGCTTGTTTCTGTGAGGAACTAGAAAAGCCGTTCTTTGCTTTGCTTGTTTGCTAATTTACTAGAGAACTCAAGTGACAACAACCTTGACTTATGTCTGTGTTCTCCTATTAGCTGATTTTCAAACCCAAGCCAACCCTTTGTGATCTAGAGATAATGCAATATGCATCCACAACATTTTATTTACTTATTTCCCTAGCAACAGATGCTTAGATTGATTTCAACATCTAGCTGCCACAACCAAAGCCATGATGGACCTATATGAGAATTTCTCTTGGACACACCCAGGAGTGCTGTTGTTGGGCCACAGGCATGCACATCATTTATTGGATATTGGCTGACTGCTTTCCAGAGTGGCTGGAGCAGACTCCTACCAGCCATGCAGGAGAGCTCTTGTCTTTCTACATCCTCACCAACGTCTTTCTAATTTTTGACATTCTCATGGGCAGAAAAAATTACCTTGTTGTTGTTTTAATTTGAATTTCTCTGAATACAAGTGAATTTAAACATTTACTTATATTTTTCTCATATTTCTGTGAATTGCCATTCCTTTCCTTTGTCTACTTTAAATTTGCATATGTAAAATATAATTTTATCGTAATTTATTGAAAAGCTCTAGTAACTTAAAGAATGATTGCAATGCAAACTTCACCTTTCAATCAGGTGTTAAATCACCTCAGTGTTAGAGAGTATTCCAATTGGCCCTTATTTCTATTACCTGCTAGTGTTAGCCTGATCCAAGCATTTCCACAGGGTTGTGTTCTCAATTCTAGCACAGCGTTTAATTATAAATACCATATTCCAATAAGGTCATATGCAACCTGAATGGTGGTGTTGATAGTTATCTGTGAGTTGACTATGTGAAGAGACTTAACTCAGAGAAGTTTAGAAGAAAATATCAATGCTATCTTCAAACAGCTGAAGAGTTGTCACATGAATGTGGAAAAAGGTTTGTTCTGTGTGTTGCTTTAAAGGACAGAATTAAAGCAAATGGGTGATGTTAATAGGGAAGCACACTTACACACAGTACGTGAACAACATTTTGTTAGAAATACCAAGTCCTGCAGTCAGTCCTCTTGGCATCAGCAAGCTCACCAGCAGTCTTCACACAGAGGGTGGACAGGCCACTAGTCAGTTAGAGCATTTCCACGTGGAGCAGGAAGTTGGTTTAGATGGCTTCCAAGATCACCTCTAATGCAGATGCAGTTCAATCTAATTACCATTTATTGAGCCTCCATTACATGCAAGACATTAGGCTAGATATTATAAGAGTTAAAACAGTAGTTCCTTAGATGATTTACATCTTATAGGGGGAAGAGAATCAATGTTTCAGAAACTGTTAGTCCCACTGCCAGGTTCTTTGCATGAAATATTCTTATTTTCACAATAGCTTGCTTTGGTAGCTACTGATAACCTCACTTTTCAGATGAGGCAACTGAAGTTTGAATCATTAGTAATTGTCTAAGATGATCAATTAAAATAATAGAACAGGGATTCAAGATAGAACAGGAATTCAACTGTGACTCCATTAAATCATGCCATGACTATGAATTTATGTCATAAATGTAGCTTCACATGTCTTGGCTTCACACAGGGTTAAAGTACCTTCCTCATCATTGTCTTCTTAAGTCTGATGGGTCTTTCTCTAGGATACAGTGTTCTAGAGAGATAGCTAAAGCTGAATTAATTTCTGTTCTATTTGAGTTCCAAGTTTCTCCTTGAGCATCCCTCTTTCCTCACTTTGGCAGTACTCTCCCAATCCTCAAATAGAAAGTTTCCTCAGTTCTTGTGGCAGTGATAGCATTTCTGAACATTAATTAGTGGCCAAAGACCACATATCATTTAGTCCTCACCCAATCCTATGGTAATTTCTATTGTTTTCACTTTACCGAATAGGAGACAGGTGTAGAGAGAGGTTACGTAACTTACTCAAGGTCTCTTTGTTTAACAAGTGACAGATATGTAACCCTAGGTTTAGCCAACTCAAGGCCTATGTTTTTAATCACTGTTCTGCACCAATTGCTCCGACACAGGCGAATCAGGATTCATCTGATAGAGCTGATAATACAAAGTTGTTAGTGTGTTGTGAGAGGTTCTGCTGTCTTTAGCTATTGAATTTCTTTCTTTTGGTCTCATTACTCCTTTTGATGATACATCGAATCTTCGCAGCTCAAGTCAGTTCCAGTTCTCCCAGTTTTAATCTTTAATTTCTCCATCTTCTGACCTATTCCTGTTCTTAGCTTAACTTTCTTTGGGACGATTTTCTTCCAGGACGGCTTGTGGCTTTGATCATTTATAAGTATTCTCCCCTGTAATTTTTCTGCTTTTTTGTTCCTTGTGATGCAATTCATCACTCTTAATAATAATAGTAATCACTGTATTTGCATAGTGTTTTATGCTACATAAAGCACATTAATTTGCATGATCTTGTTTAATGTTTGAATTAATCTCAAGAAGTGCTATGTCTTTATGACATAAGAGAAAATATGCTTAGTGAGGTTCAATGAATCATCTATTGTCACAGAGCTAGACAGTGACTGAGCAGGTTTGTGAGTCTATATTATCTGCCTCCAAGCTCAGTGTCCATTCCACTATATCTAATTTCTCTGTTAGCCTCAATAGTTTTTTTTTATTCATAGAAATAAACTCTATCGTAGAGTCAGGTGATTTCTTCATATATTTTCTAAAACAAACAAACAAATAAATAAAAATATTGCTCCAAAGGTTTTATCTTTCCATCACTTTTGAATTTTCATTTTCCCCAACATTTTGAAAATTTCTACCAATTAGTATTGCTTTCCAAGAAACGAAAAGTGAACCTCTCCCTGAGTTTCACTTTCTTATTCCTTCAATAAACCTGTTTGGTTTTCTCATATATTCAAGACAACTCTGCAAAGTGATATATACTATAGTTACAGCCCTCAAGGAGAATCCAACTTGAGAAAATAAGATAGGTACATAAGTACCTTTCATAAAATGTAGAAATTGTGTCATAAGAAATGTCTAGCTCTAGTCTGGTATGTACTACTTGTGAATGGAGCCACTACAGGTGGCTCAATTGGTTGGAACATTGTCCCATGCATCAAAAGGTTGTGGGTTTGAGTCCCAGTGAGGGCACATACTTAGGTTGGGGGTTTGATCCCTGGTTGGATGTATACCGAAGGCAACCAATTGATGTTTCGCTCTCACATTGTGGCTTCCGTATATCTCTCTCTCACTTTGCCCCCCACTCTAAAATCAATAAACATATCCTTGGGTGAGGACTTTTAAAAAATGTCTAAATAAAGAGCTATAGAAAAATATCCACATGGCTATTCACCAAAATGCTAAGTGTGGTTATCTCTGGGGGTAGAAGTTTTTTCTTTTTTTCAATTTATTTTTTTATTTCAGTATAGTTGGTATAGAATCTTATATTGACTATACTAGTTTCAGGTGTACAATATAGTGATTCAACATCTCTATTTATTTGTTTAAAAATTATTCATTTTGAGAGAGAGAGAGAGACATCAATTTGTTATTCCACTTATTTATGCATTCATTGGTTGATTCTTGTACGTGCCAGGGATCAAACCAGCAACCTTGGCCTGTTGGGATGATTTCTAACCAATTGAGCTACCTGTCCAGGGCTTGACATTTTTATACCTTACTGATCACCCACTAATTCTAGTAGTCATCTGTCACCATGTAAATTTATCACAATGTTATCGACTATACAAGTATTCCCCTTCCACCCCTACCCTCTCCCTCCTGGTAAATCCCTTTGGTTGGGGATAGGAGTTTTATTCATTACATTTTTTTTTGTTTTGCTTATTGGCAGGTTCTAAGTGTCTAAAAATAAATATGTACTACTTGTGAAATAGAAGGGGGAAACATAATTCATTTTTAAAAGTGCTACGGGAGTTCAAAAAAGAAGTTCCTTCTCGCAAAAGTGTTGGGCAAGACAGGCTATAGCGAGGACATTTAGGCTGAAGGCTGAAGAGATGTAGCTGGGGTGAGAAGAGAGTGCATTTTGCATGGACAGAGCCACATTCAACTGTGCATGAAATCAAGAAGATACACAGTAACTATGGGAAAGAGGACTTGTCTGGAGACTAGTGTGTGGAAGCTAGTATAGGAAATAAAGCTCATTGCTAGGGCCTGGAACCCCTTAACTGCTGAATGAGGAGGCCAGCACTTCAGAGCTGAGGCATCCCTGGAGAAGACTAAGATAAACATATCCAGTGAGCTGAGAAAGGCTCAGGAGGCTGATAATTCTCTCTAATAGGAGGTAGGACTAAATCAAGATATGCAGGCAGAACAGAATATTGGCAGGCTATAGTGATAAGAATAGTTGTAACCTCTTAGCAATCAGTAGTTAGTATCTCATGAAAGTCCTTGGGAGAAGACAGGAAATATGGACACAGTAAATAGTATATAAACAATCAAAGTCCCTGAGACTGGAGGGATAGTTTTTACTGCAAGGTGATGACATAGCAGTGGGGCTACCATTCAAGAAAGGGATCACCCCATTCTTAAGAAGAACAGAGACAGCAAAAAATGGAGAGATTAAAGAGAAAGAAATCAGATCCAGAGACTGGAAAGTATACACAGGCAGAGGGCTAAAGATTATCCTGAGTCAATACCTTTGAGGCAGAGATTTCTTATAAGGCAGGTCCTAAGAGTTGAAGCTGAAGACTGGAACTATGAGCTGGCGAGCTGTGTCTTTTCTAGAAAAATATAGAAATAATACCTTAATTAATGATGTAAACATATAAATATACCTACTAATTTTCTTTCTTGGCTTTGCAAATATTTGGACTAGATTTCTTTATGGAACTATTTTGAAAGAGGCATAAACCCTAAGCTAGTACTAAATTGGAATTTTCTTTCACTTAGTTGCAACCTTTATCACCTACTACTTCACAATTCCAGGTTTACCTTGTAGACCTACATAGACCACTATTTTATTCCTTTTTTTCCCCTAGAGTCAGGGGTCTCCCATGGCTGATCACTTGAACTGCCTTTGGTGGAAGGCAACAGGTAGATATAGCTTGATGCTTAGGCCTCATTCCAGCAAAACCTTTAATTAACTTTTGGGAAGCCAAACATTAACGACTGACCAAGCCTCTCAAGTCTCATTTTCATGCAATATGGTGTCCTGTGGAGGTTTTCTTCTCCTTCCCCTAGCCCATGTAGCAGTGTCGGCTCTGCAACTAACAGCATGATCTCAGGCAAGTCCCTAGCCTCTCTGAGCTTTGGACTCATCTGTAAATTACATGCAAGTTGGATTATGATTTAAAAGTTATGACAGCCCTACAATTCTAAGATCCTGACCCAATCAATAATAAATAAAACTTGTTAATAAGTGTAATTAATTCTTTTAAAAAACATTTATTTATTTACTTTTAGAGAGAGGGGAAGGGAGAGAGAAAGAGAAGGTGAGAAACATTGATTAGTTGCCTCTTGCATGTCCCCAACTGGGGACCTGGATGGCAACCCAGGCAAGTGCTCTGACTGGGAATCGAACCCATGACCTTTTAGTTTGCAGGCAGACACCCAACCACTGAGCCACACCAGCCAGAGAAATAAGTGTAACTAATTCTTAAAGGTTCAGAATATGGAGTCCATGGAGAAAAGGCTCTAATTGATAAAAACTGCTGGAAGCAACTGGGGTCAAGGATAGTTGGTTTATATATATTTTTTAAGTTTTTCATTTTTAGCTGCCCATTACCCCCCAAATTTATGTAGGGAAATTAATTAGGCTCTCTACACTTAAAAATCATAATTCTAAAATGCTTTACAACACTGAGGCTTGAGTTAATATAATTTTTTTTAATCCTCACCTAAGGATATATTTATTGTTTTTAGAGAAAGGAAGGAACGAAGGCAGACAGGGAAGAGTGAAGAGAGATAGAGGGAGGGGGAGTGGAGGGGGAAACCACCCTGATTGGGGACGAACCCACAGATTAGGTATTTCTCCCTGACCAAGGATGGAACCCGAAATCTTTTAGTGTACAGCAGAATGCTCTAACCAACTGAGCCACCCCACCAGCGCAACAGAACTTACTCTGAAAGGAAGACTCAAGCTAATACAAGATATTTCTGAGGTGCTCAGTGTTGACTCTGAATTGATAATAAACCTGTGAAGCACTGACCATAGCTCATTTTGTGATTTCGATAGCTAGCCTGTTTTAGAATTGCTGGTATTACCAGAAGACATTCCCTGAACTGAAAGAAAGAATAAGGGTGAAGTGGCAAGACTAAAAGGAGTGAGCAAAGAAACAAACTGAGGAGGGAGACGTACTAGAAAAGAGAAGCATCTTCAGTAATGAAGCTTTAGGGGTTGTTGTGAAGGAAGCACGTAAAACAAGTCTAAAACAGGCGACTAAATTATGATTACCCTAACTGCCTGAAAGACTAATTTTAATTACCTATCAAACACAAGAACATTTTGTGGTGGAGTATAAAAATGTAATTTTTACTTCTCTCTCAATCCGTTTGTTTTCAGACGTCTCACGGTTTTCTCTTGTTCAACAACTCCGTCATCCTAGGAGAGCTTTGGAGGGACGAAGCCCACTGACAACGGTAGAGCAGAAAGAAAGAAGAGGAAAGGGGGAGGTATGAGTAAGACTAATGGGAAGAGTGGAGGGGATACGAAGAGAAAATGCAAGAGGAGGCAACCGCCGGTTGGAGTTGGTTTCATTATCCTTCAGTTCTGGGCATCGGTGGTTCGACCTTGGGGGGAAGAGAGAGGACCTGTCTTCTCTGTACCGCGCGCCTGGGCTCTCCGTATTCCAAAGCCCGGTGCGGATTCTCAACGTGGAGCACCGCACCGAAGATTCTACCAGGTAGGTAGGTTCTGCCCGACCCAGGTGCTCCTCAGCCTTCCTTTCCTCGCCCTGGAAGGCATATTACATCATGCCAGCCAGAGCAGCGTGGCCAGTTTTTCCATTTCAAATCTCTTGAACGCCAACTCTTGCTCCTTAAGACGGGATTTAGCTCGAATGTTTCCCCTGTCTGGACTAGCCCACAAGGGACGCACTCCGATATGCATCTCATTTTATCAAGGAGGCTATTAAATGACCCAGGGAGCTGTTTTTTCTCTCTCGATTACGAGATTTAGCTACACAAGAACACAGGGCTACCTAAGCCTGTCGCTGCGTCAAGACCCGCTCTACACACACCGCCCGGAATCTTCATTGAATCGAAGAGGGCGTCCCTGGGAGGGAAAAAGGGGGCTTGAGGGTCTACTCCAGCATGCCGCGCTTGCGCAGTCACCAGGCAGCGCCACCCCCGCGGGGCGTGTCCGTAATGCCGGCGCCCTATCTGCCGGCCACAAGGAGCGCGCCCGCTGCCTCGCCCTCTCTCTCCCTCTCTTGGCCCAAACCCTTTCTTTTCTTGGTCCGGCTTTAGAGTGAAGCCCGCAGATCCGACACTCCTCCCCGCGCCCCAGCAAGCGTCCACACCTTTAGCGCGCATGCGTAGATGTGGACCGCAGGCGGGGGCGCGAGGGAAGGGCGGGTGTACGTCTTTGCGTGCGTCTCAGGCAGCGCGCACGCCGGCGTGAGAGGGCACGGGGGAAAAGGTGGCTCTGGCCCGGGCGGCTCGGCTTCCTGTGGCTATGTAGCTGATCCCGTCTGTTTGGGGTCCTCCTGCCGTCGCCGCGTCGTAACGCGGAGTTTCTGCTCGGGAAAGAGTCTGGCCTCGCGCTCGCCGCGCTCTCTCGACGGCACAGCTGGCTCGCTCGCCCGTGGGAGCGTCCCGGCCGAGCAGCCCTGAGGGGGGAGGGGAGGCCATTTTGTCCCGACCGACTCCCCGGAACCGGGCAGAGCGGCTGGGAGAGGCTGCGGAGCCGCGGTCGCCGCCCTCGGAGGCACCGGACGCCACCACCGTCGGTGCTTCCTCGGCGAGGCCGTTCGTAGGTCGCCCGCGCCCTCTCGAGTCCTCCTTTTTCCCACGCTTCCCCAGTCCTCCGGCCTGAGAACGCCCGGGTGAGGAGTTGGCCACAGTGAGAAGGACCGATCCCTTGGGGCCGCCGGCGGCGAGCGCCTGAGCCGCTCCTCCCAATGGCGAAGAAGACGTACGACCTGCTTTTCAAGCTGCTCCTGATCGGGGACTCGGGAGTGGGGAAGACCTGCGTCCTTTTTCGTTTTTCGGATGATGCCTTCAATACCACCTTTATTTCCACCATAGGTAAGACCTGGGGGAGGATGGTATATGGTCTCTTTAGCTGCAAACCGTTTCTTTTACTCCAGACATCTTGCTTCCCGTAATATACGCCTTTGTTTCAGTGATTCCGATTCTAGGCGACAGACCCAAGTTGCTGTTTGAATCGGCATTTAGCTTACTGGGGCGGGGTCTTCCCATGCTTTCTATATGGTCTTTCGCTTTCGAGTCTCCCACTCTGCTCAGTGCCTGTTGTTAACAAAATATGCAAAGAATTCCATTTCTTTAAACGAGTGGACTGTTTTTTTCCATATTTGTGTGGCTTTACTAGATGTCGATATTTGTAAGGAATTAATTTCAGTGGTTGCGATTGAAGCAGTGGTAGTTATTGGTTAAAGGCCTGATTTATACTTCGGGGTGAAGAGAAGATTCCATATGGACATAACTTGGAGTAAACTTGAGGGTTTGTGTGAGGAATAATTAAAGCACATTAGAAGGGGAAAGTGAGTTGGGCCGCGTTGACTAATCCATTGATGTATCAAACAATCGGAGGCTCCTCGTGCCTGGGGTGGGACTCCGTGGCATGTTTGCCTCAACTGTGCTTTCTGAGACATCCACAGAAAAGGGAGTCTAAAGGGAGATGATCAGTGTTTCTTTTTACCTCCAATCCGAAAGGTAGTCGTTTTCCTTCTATTTTACTTTGCTCTTGAGTTCATAGGAAAATGTTTTGCCAGTCATAGCTCTAGGAGTTCAGTACTTCCACCTTGTGTTTCAGAATTCCTTAGTATGGAGGTAAGAGCTAAAGATTGACCTTTTCATCGGTTTCCTGTTGAGGAAAAGAAAAGGGAAGGCTCTAGGAAAGCCCCTTTTGTCTCTGGGAAAGTTGGTGGCATTAACGCAAATTGTGTCAAGTGACTTGTGTGTGAAACCCATCCCCGGTAAATACCTTGAAGGACACATGGTTGTCTGTCATTTACTTGGAGGCCAGCACTCAGTCCAATGAGACTTATTTTTTAAAGTGTAACTAGTTATATATTTAGATGATTTTTAGAAGTAACTGCAGTCTTCTTTGGACTCTGAAAATTGTTTAAATTAAATTAACCTGATTTCAAACAGTTTGTATTGTAGCATTACTGAAATTGTAGATTTGGATTTCTTGTGACATGAATTAGCTACTTAATTCAGTCTCATAAAACAAATTGTACTGAAGTTGAATTGGGCAAAGGATCGTTTTAAATAGATTTTTATTTTACTCCCCCCTTTTCTGGAAGGAGAGTCATCCTAATCGTTGTTGCCTGAGTATTATACTGTTCTCTTGACCTATCATAAATGTGGTGGAACTAGAACTTGTTTCTGCCTGTGGGTTAGCACTTCCTACCACGAAGTTTGCTTTTAATTCCACTTTTAAGCTGTTAGCTGGGTGGATCTGGTGGTTAGATCGATCAGCAAATATTTATTGAGCACCTAATGCTAGGCGCTGTTCTAGGCACCGATGATAAGATGATAAGTGGTGACTATAATAGACTCCTGTAGGAGCATTCTAGTGAAGACCATCACAGTGGAGTGTGGAAAGTGCTACCGTAGGGGTAAGCCATGGGGAGGAGGCGTGATTAGCGTGCATGGTGGGAAGTCTGTGTTGGCATGCGTGGAGATGATCTCTGAAATGAAGCCTGAAGGAAAGATAGGAATAAGAACCAAAGAGGTGGGATAGGGCCTTTCTGGGAAAGGGAGCATAAAATAAACCTGTATAAAAGATGAGGGACTTAATTCATGTTGGCCAACTTTAACCTGCCATTGAGAAGGGTGGGGTGGAGAGCAGGAAGCAAAGCATTAACTTTTTCCCACTTTTTTTTTGTAATGAATACATGCTCAACTAAAACACAGTCCTTTAAGATAATAATGTAATGTTATTTTTGGGTAGTTCTTCTACTTGGGAGAATGTGTGGTGATTTTGGATAAAGCCTACTGGGTTGGAATCCTGGTTCTGCACATAGTAGTTGTGGTACTTTGACAAGTAACTTAACCTGTCTGCTTCAGTTTCTTCTTCAGTGTTAATGATAGTGTGTAGTTACCACACAGGGTAGTTGAGAGGATTTTGTGGGTCAGTGAGAGAAGGGCACCTAGCACGGTGGCAGGCATACTGTAGGGGCACGATGCATTATGAACTAAATATAGAATATGTGACCCTTCTGCTGCTCAAGGGTGGCCAAACAAGTTACATTATGGATTGAGCGTTCTGCACACAGTGGCCACCCAAATATTTCAAAGTGATTTGTTGAATAAGTTCTCTTTAGATTCTGAGACTTTCATGTTTTGATATAAATATTCGATAGGTTAGATTTTTTTGTCACATGGTGTGTTGAACAATGTAAGCTGAGAAATGAGTAAATACATAAGTATAAAATTCTGAGTGCAGTTCCAACACATGTATTAGCTCTGTGAACGTTTAGAAGTCTACTATTGTCTTTAATTAGTGCTTTCCAAAAGAAATATAATGTGAGGTGCAAACATATTTTTTAGTAGCCACATTAAAAAATAAAAAGAATTTAATAATATATTCTTATTTTATTCAAAATATTTTATGTAATGAAGATTAAAAATGGTTGATATTTTATATATTTTTCCAGTGTGTGTGTTATACATACAGTATATTTCGATTTAGGCACATTTTAAGTGCTCGATTATGTGGCTGTTGGCAACCATAAAAGACAGTGCAGGTCTGGATAGTTTAAACTAGCCAGTTGTCTAATGTGCAGATGACTAGAAATTCTTTGAATGCATACTGCTTTTAGGATGTATTAAACTTTATCTGTTGGCTAAGATTGTTCTTTTTTATGTTTTCTTTATAACTTTTATTTCTTCAAAGATTTTATTTATTTACTTTTAGAAGGAGGGGAAGGAAAGGGAGAAAGGGAGAGAAACATCCATGTGTGAGAGAAACATCAACAGTTTGCCTCTTACACACCCCCAGCTGGGCACCTGGCCCACAACCCAGGCATGTGCTGCGACTGGGAATCCAACCTACAACCTTTTGGTTCACAGGCCGGCGCTCAGTCCACTGAGCCATACCAACCAAGGCTATTTTGCTTTTTTAAAAAATTATAAAGCATTCTCTAATTATAAATGGTAGTAAAATTTGAGTTGTCACTTGATTGTTCAAACCTCCTGAGATTTTAATACAAGCAAATGGAGTTGAAGGGATAGAGAATGAGAGGGAAACATCCGTCTGTTGGTTGACTCTCCTGCAAGCCCCAGTACATGCATGCCCTGACCAGGAGTTGAACCGGCAACCTTTAACTTTGCAGGAGGATGCTCAGCCAACTGTACTATACTGGTCAGGGCCAGAGATCTTTGTCCTTTTGTTGTCATTGTTGATGATAGATGCTAAGCACCTAGAAGGGTCCCCGCATTTCATGGATGCACTATAGATAATGAAAGCAGGCAGACAGAGACAGTACAACCAGGATTCTCTCTGGGGCTCATTTTATTTTAATATTTTCCTGTTTACCTATTTTCTGAGCATTATATTATATATGTGATATAGCTTAGGAGCAGACTTAAGAATAACAGCTCTTTAGGTAATAGAGTAATTTTAGAGTAAAATTCAAAGATTGAGAAATATTTGATAAAGAGAGTTACTGGCTTTAGATAAGCAAGTTTCAGTGGTTGATTTGGCCACAACTTTCTTGTCAGGAATGCATAACTAGTGATAATGGTAACTATGTGCACTTGTCCCAAAGCAGAAATTTTGAGTTGTTTAACCGAATGTGTTACCTTTTGGTATTGTTAATCCTTCCACTCCTAGACTTGCTATTACTTTTCCCATAGGGGAATATCTTTCATTGGGAAATGGAGTCTCTGGGCTCTGTGTAAGAAACTAAATTGGTAAAGGCTCTTGCCCCTAGGAAAGGTATAATGAAAGCATCCTTTTTTGTTATCTGAATGTTTTTATTAAGCTTTGGACACGTAGGATGGTTCCACTAACCCGCATTTAAGAACTGGTTGACTAAGTTGAACTGAGCCCATTTTATATGGAGAGGCTGCGTTTTAGAGAAATGAGCAAAACCTTTGTCATATTAAATGTCTGTGCCTTGTTGTAATACTCAGGCAGCAAGTGGCTCATGCTACAGGAATGTCAGAGTAATTTCTTTGATTCAAACACATATTTTTAGGTTTGATTAAAAACTGTCCAGGCAGTTTCCCAAAGAAGATATACAAACGGCCAGTAAGAACTTGAAAAGATGTTCATCATCACTAATCATTAGAGAAATGTAAGCCAAAAACACTATGAGATGTTACTTCATACCCATTAGGATGATTTACTTATCAAAAATGAATTTGTCATACTGCTCAAGTTCCTGCTTTCAGTTCTTTTGTGGTATATACCTAGAAGTGTAATTGCTAGATCATGTAATTGCTGTTTTCATTTGTTTGGAGAAACCATCATATTGTTCTCCACAGTGGCTGCACTATTGGGCATTGCTATTAGCCCTGCACCTGGATTTTGGTGCCTTCCCATCATCACTGTCACTTGCTATTGTTTGTTGAGCAGTAGCAGTCACAGTAGCCAACATGTTGGAAAAACCCACATGTTCAAGTGATTAATGTATATACAAAATGTACTATATACATATAATAAAATATTATTCAGCCTTTAAAAGGATTTGTTTCCCTCAAATAGATAAATATTGGGAATTAATAAAGTAGTTTGAATTATAAGAAAAGGGATTTGAGAAGATGATTAGAATAAAATTTTGGTGAAGAAAACTCAACTGAAGGGAATCTGAAATGAGAAATTTTCTTCGATGACAGTACCATATATTTTGGGTTACAAACAAAAGTGATTGCTTGATATTTATTCTTTTATCCCAGAGATTAATTAAAAATGTCATTTTTGAGCAAAACAGCAGCAACTGGTGATGGAACATTAAGTTTCCAGTCTGACCCAGAAACAGAGCATCCAAGGTTGTAAAATGTTAGAAAATGGAAATACCATTGTTCTGGAGACTGAAAAAATACAATGTATC